TGGATAGAGGTATGCGGTTACACCATCGTCAACGTCTACCGAAGGGCTTCGGCAGACTCAGCCACAGAGACCCTCACTAAATGGGGCCCTCCCCCCCCCCGCTCAATCATCGCAGGCGACTTCAACGCCTCACACCAACTTTGGGAACCGGGCAGGGGCGCGGACCCGGCAGGCAACAAAATCGCGGAATGGGCGGAGAAGCACGATCTCCTCCCAGCTCTAATAGACACGCCCACCCGACACTCGGGAAAGTGCATCGACCTGGTCTTCACAAACTGCCCTGCGTCAACCAGGGTCGAACACTCCCTCAACACAGGGTCGGACCACTACACAGTGATCACGAACCTGCCCGAGCCCCTCAGGACAACCCCGGGGGCAGGGAAAAAATACGTCCCGTTGGAATGCTGGGAAGACTTCGGCCAACTCATGCGCTCCTTCGCTTGGACCCTCCCCACGGTCGACCTGACCACACCGTCAGAAACCAACCTTGACGAATGCGCCAAGGCCCTGCAGGACCTCTTCAAACAAGCCATAGAGGGGGCCGGCAAGACCAGACACCAGAACGGCCACAGTGCACCATGGTGGTCGGAAAAGTGCAAAGCAGCCCACAAGGCCTACAAAGAAGCGGCAGACGGCTCCCCCGCCCAAGAGGGAGCCCGTAAGACCCTCAGAGACTCCATACGCCGCAGCAAGCGAGCCCACTGGGACGAGATCATAGCGGAAGCCAGCGCCACTAGGAACATTTGGTCAGTGGCCAAGTGGCGCAAGGCGACGGACCGCTTTCAACCGCCCCCCCTGATAGACGGGGACAAAAGCATCTCAGACCCCACGGAGAGAGCGACTTTCCTCAGAGACAAACTTCTCAAGCGAAAGACAACAGAGGAGGACATCTCAGACCCATGGGAAGAGGACTTTCCCGTCAACAAGAACATCCACTGGGACCAAACAGTGTCGGAGCCGGAGGCCAAGAAAGCCACAACGGGGTCAGGAAACACCGCGCCCGGCGCAGACGGCATATCAGTCGCCCTTCTACAGCTCGCCTGGCCTGCCATCGGCGAGTACGTAACCAACCTTTTCCGCGGATGCCTGATGATAGGACACCACCCACTCCCCTTCCGGAGCGCGGAGATCACCATCATCCCCAAACCTGGGAAGCCGGAGAAGGCGTACACTACGCACAAAGGCTATAGACCCATCTCCCTGCTCTCCTGTATAGGCAAAGGCCTCGAGAGACTCCTAGCTAGAAGAGTCTCCCTCCTAGCGATGGAACACAAAATACTGCCAGAACAATATTTCGGGGCTCTCCCAAAAAGGTCCGCGACAGACCTGGTCGCCTGCTTGCTACACGACGCCGAAGTCGCCCTGGCCCAGGGTCTCGTCATCTCCCTCCTTACACTCGATATCTCCGGCGCGTTCGACATCGTCATGCGCAACCGCCTGGTGTACAGACTCAGGGAACAAGGTTGGCCCCCCCTCTTTGTGAAATGGGTCGACTCCTTCATGAGCGACCGCAAGGCTCTTGTTCGAAACGGATACGGGACCACCCTCCCGGAGACGGAGCTGGAATGCGGAGCCCCACAGGGGTCCCCCATCTCCCCCATCGTCTCCATGCTCTATTTTTCCCCCAGCCTGAAGCTCAATGACCCCAACACCCGCTTCGGGTACGCGGACGACATTGGCATNATGGCAGTGGGGGCCGACACCAAAGAAACCGCCCAGAAGCTCCAGTGGGAATTGGAAGACACCCTAAACTGGGGTGACAGGAACGCGGTCTCCTTCGACCCGGACAAGGCCGAACTCATACACTTCTACAGGACCAGAACCCAAGCACACGACGAGGGAGTGGACTTCAGAGGAAAGATCATAGCCCCCCAGGACTCGGTCCGGTGGTTAGGGATACACCTGGACTCGCGGCTCTCCTTCAAAAAACACCTCGGGATCATNAAGGGAAAAGCCCTCAAAGCGGCCAATTTCCTAAGATCTCTGAACAAGACACAAAAAGGATCCCCGCCAGACGCGGTGGCCATGGCAGCCAAGGCCTGCGTCGCCCCTGTAGCCCTATACGGGACGGAGGCTTTTTGGCCCGGCGAGAGCAGACAGAGCGCGACGAACCCAAACAGACAAGTGGGAACAGGCTCGACGGGACTGACCGCGATCCTGGAACCCCCATTCAAAACAGCAGCCAGAGCAGTTGTCCCCGTGTGGAAGACGACCAACCTCTCCGTCATACACAGAGAATCGGGAGTCCCCCCGGCGTCAGTATGGGTGGCACAGACAAGACTCCGCACAGCGGCTCGCTTCGCGGGTCTGGACAGAAACCACCCGATCAGCAGACGCATCGACAAGAAACTCCCCCCCAGGGTTCCCCCCACCCNACTGCAACGCACCGCAGCCCTAGTAGGGAAAACAGTCCGACCCTCCCTGTTCGCCAAGAACAACGGAGCGGTCCGAGCAGGCCCGGACTTCAGAGGCCTACCGAAGTCAGAGGCAGCGGAGAAACACCTAGAACTACTCGACGGCCTCCCCAGGTCCACCCT